CTTGATGTACCTGTACCTGCTATAATGGGTCTTTGTATAAATAAATCAAATGTAAATTCCGATGGTAAAGATGTTGATGATGATGATAGATCTAGTGATACAAGCAATGAATTAATATTTGAAGTTCAACGATGTGTTGTTCATATTGATACTGGACATATTAAATTGTCTGCTGATATGCCACGTTTTCCAGATCGAACTTGTTTTATAAATGAATTAAATAATATTTTATTACGATTTAATAATTATATTCATAGTAATTTATCAAAAAAAAATCTTTTAAAACTAAACAAAAATATCAACAGAGTGAAGATTGGACACATATTTATTATGAAAATTTATTAAAAGAATCAAATTATGAACCAAGTCAAGCATTAGCAAGACTTGCAGCAATAGCTAAACGTGCTGGAATTGTTATTAATAATAATGATGATGAAAATAGTGATAGTAGACTATCATGTTTATTTAATGAATCTGAATTACGTCGAATATCAGCGAATAATTGTTTACGTGCATCATTTATAAATCGTTTTGCCCAATTATTTAGTCAAATGGATGCATTTATATGTTATCCACCAGTGAGCAAATATTCTAATGTTGATCAATGGTTAGCACAACGAAGTACAACAAAAAATTTTGATCGAACTATGTTTATTGCTGATCAACCAAAACCACATGTGCCTTTTTTACTTGCATTTATGGAAACACAATCATTTGTTTCATTTGTTGATAGTAAAATTCCATCAAAATTTAATGAAGATAATCATCTTTTTGGTTTAACTAATAAACATTTACAAGTAAAAAAATTGTTTTTTTTTTAATTAAATTCTTTCATATGAATTTATTTTTATTTTTTGTATTCAAAGTATTTTTCTGATCATATTCGTTTATATCGTGATCGTCGTGATTTAACTTATCAATATTGTTTATCAATTGATTCAATTGATGAAGAAACTCGTCGTCGTTTTACTTCACCTTTTCCATCTTCATTAATTGTAATGAATGCATCATTAGTTCGTCCACTTGATAATTCATTTTCTACATCGAATAATTCTTATT